TTTTTTTTTTTACCTTTTTTGCCAAAGCAACTAGATTTGTTCTGATACTCGCTATTGTTATATTATTGTTCATATCTTTATTTTCTGCATTTACTTTTTTTAGGTTTCATTGGCTTTTCTTTTTTTATCTTTATTTTCTGCATTTACTTTTTTTAGGTTTCTTTGGTTTTTCTTTTTCAAACGTTTTTAATTGAATGCTTATCTCACTTATTAATTTTTAGTATATTTTTTAATATTTACATTTAAGGCCATAATATTTCTCCTGAGAAAATGGCCATAGCTTAACCCAGGATTTGATAGGTAGTGGTGTTTGTTCTTTTTTTTTTTTTTTGTCTCTTCTAAATGTTTCCTAATTCTCATTATGATTTCTTCTTAGGCCCATGAATTATTTAACTCTGTGTTTTAAAGTTTTCACAGACACATTTTAGGTTCTGTATTTTTTTGTATATTAATTAGATTACTTTTTAACCAAATAGCTTGATATATTTCATAATGGTTCTTTGAGATTCATTTAGCTTTACTTTATCCCAAAATGTTTCTTCAGATTTTGTATATATTGCCTATATTTTAAAAAGAACATGTATTCTTTAATAGCTGTGTTTAATGTTTAATAGTGTTTAGGTATGTCCATTAGACAAGCTTGTTAAATCATATTCAAAACTTCTTTTTCCTTTGTAACTTTGTCTCTTTAATCACTTAGAGAGTGTGCTTAAGTTCCTCTGTTGTGGTATGTTTGTGATCTTTTATTCTGTCAGTATTTGCTTTGTGTATTGTGAGGCTCTTGCTGGTTTGCTTTCTGTTTCTTTGTTGTTACATTTTAGGAAGTCTCATAAATAAATAATTAGGACTAGATTTTAGTTTTTTAATAGATGAATTTAAAATATGTTAATTACTGATATATTTAGGTTTTATTTCTATGTTTTATGTTGTTCTGCACTCACACTTTTACTCTTTCCCCTTTTTTTGTTATTATTTAGCTTATTTTTTTCCTCTAGTCTTCTATTGGATTCATTTATAAAAATGTTCTTAATTTTCCCCTTTTCCCACTTTTACTGATTTGGAAGTAATGAATTCTGTACTTAATTTTTACTTGTTACCCTTATATTTTAATTTGTATACTTAATTTTTAGCTTGCATACTTGCTTTATCAATGTCTAAAGTTAATATCACAGCCTATTTTTAAGGAAATAATATGTCTTCATTCTATTGCCTTTTTCTGTTAAAGAAGAAATATCTATGTATTTGAAGGGTGGAGAGGAGAATATTTAATATAGGGACCCTCTGTTTTTCACCAGATTAGAAATGAAAAGGAGTTTGCATGGACCTTTTGGACATTGATTTTTATAGTTTTATTCAAGTATATTTTCTTATCAACATCTAATCTTATGATGATTATAATAAAAAACAATTACTTGTACTTAAAGTATGTATATAAATAAAGCAGAATACCTATACTAAATAATGTGCATTTTTAGTATATTGTATAGTTTCAGATTGACTTATATTACAAAAGATAAATATAGTATTAGGCATTATAAACTGTGAACCTCTAAATATGTGTTCACTGAGTATATTATTCAAAGTCTTGCTAGTACCGACTTCCTTATTGAGAATAATTTTCTCCTATTGGTTATATTTACTTAAGACCTTAGCTGTTATTACAGAGCCATCAAATGAAAGAGTCCTCAGAGATGTCTCTTTCAACTTTTTCGTTTTGCCAACAAAATCAGCCAAATTAATTAACAATCTGAATCTGGACCCTCTCTCTTGTTCTCAACTTAGTTGTTTATTCTGAACCATACTATCTTTTTGATTGCTTCTATTGTAAAAAGCTTATTTTTTTTTACAATTCTGCTTGTAATGTATATTACAATATGAAAGGTGCAGCACTGTTGTGTAATAATTAACTTCAAACTGTGCATGTTTGAACAGAGAAGATAAGTTATAATTAAATGTTATAATAATTATTTTTAAATGCCTATGGTTTTTTTTCTGTCATTAATTTCAGATGTAAACAGTGTTCTACTTTGAGACCAATAAAAACTCTAAATTCCCTGGTTGATAAAACACCATGGATTCCTTCTTCTGTGGCAGAAGGTTAGCAAATTTCTGTGTCCTGCAACTATAACTGTGTTCGTATAAGGTGACCTCACTGATTCTTTTTCAGTTGTTGATATTGTAAAACCAGAGCAAGGACTGAGCTAAAGTTTAAACTTTACTTAAACAAACCATTCACGGTGATTATAATAAAAGTATAAAGTGAAGTTTAAAATGTTTGAAAACTTGCTTCCAGGATCTGCCAGTATCTTTAATCATTACAATTTAATGTTCGATAATTTGTTTTAGTATTAATTATTAATCATAAATATAGATTCTGAAAAATCCCTCCAGTTCACAGTTATTAAAAGCAGTTTTAGAGATGGCTATTACAGCTCTTTACCCAACACACATCTTTAGCTGGAATAATAAACTTTTTATATCATATTCTTTAACTGTGATCATCCAGCATTGACTTAAAACTCTGTCATTGACAGGGGACTCATTACATTGCAAGGCAACATACCCCTTATTTTTTAAGTAGTTCTTAGTGAAGCAAAACTATGGGCCACATTCTTTCCACTAGAATTAGAATACATGCCTTCTGTAAGATTAACAGGCTTTAGACATTTGAAGGTATCTGTCAGACCTTCACTGAGTCTTTATTTCTCCAACTAGGCACCCTCACTTCATTTGGTATTTTCCCACATTCCCTACCATTTTGTTTCTCCTCCTTAGTAAACATTCCATTTTACCAATGTTCTCAAAGTTTGGCATTAAAAGCTGCAAATAAGGCTGCAAATGTTGGCCAGTTCAGAATATAAAGAAAACCTTTATTTCTCTAAAATTGGACACTTTGCTTCTACTAGCCTGAAAATTTTATTGTATCAATATTTATTTGTATACTTGGTTTTGTTTTTTTTCTTTTGCAGTCTAACTATATGATACTGCTATCTCATATTTTGTTTGTGGTCCAGTGAAATTCCAGGTTCCTTTCATTTGAGCTCCCTGCTTTCTAGCATGGTCTCCCCATCCCATTCTTAATGCAATTCTTTGTGTGTGTGGTCCCTCGGGGTAGATTTTACATTCACCCTTCTTGGTATTAGCTCAATTTTAACCTATGGAGACCTTTAGAATCCTACAAATCAAGTCCTCTGTATTAACAATTTTTGTCATGTCTGTATGCCCTAATTCATTTCTCTGTATACCCTGTTGTATTCTTCTTACTTGCCCCTTAATTAATCCTTTTAAATATGGATTCCACAAATGAAAGACAGTATTTCATTTTATAAACATATTAAATGTCTCCCATTTCCAAACACAAAGTACTATTTTAACCTATGAATTTTCATATCATTTAATATCTCTTTAATTTCTTCTTCCTCATCAAATCATGAAATCCCATCTTCTGACATTTTTGTCCATTCAACTAGATGATATCTTAAAAAATAAGTGATCCCTATATTAATAATACAAAGGGGAGAGACATGTTACAAAATCATAAATTTTTTTAGAACATTCTGGTATTTTAATTTTGTCTTTCATGAGGCTAACATGCAATGAATTGTAGTACATGAATCAGTTTTTATGTTTTCTATCAAGTTACGAACTCATTTTAAAATATTATATTATTTCATCAATGCTCATGAGTCATTGCCCCTATATAGGTATAGTGTAATGTTCTAAAATGAGTCTGCTAAATGAGTTTAATATATTGTTATTGGAGAACAAAAGGCATATATATAAGTTGTTTATCTTAAGTTATTTTAATAAACAAAACTAACATAATATCATAAAACAATTTTTACTTTACTTTGATTTTATGGAATAGAAGATTCATATGGTTTGATCTTTTTTCCCTTCACTAGTACTGGGTATTGTACCCCTTCAACATGTGTTTGTAATGACATTTACTCTTGATGATGGAACAGGAGTATTGGAAGCTTATCTCATGGATTCTGTAAGTAACAGAGGTAGTGTAGATATTTCTAAGTAAAATATTTTTTTAATTTTAATGTATTTATTCATTCCTGCTTTATTACTGAGAGGATTTAAGACAACTTAAAAAAATAAAATGCAAGCACATAAATTAAGGTGTCTGTATATTTATCCTGTTTTGACTCTAAATTTAGTATCCACATAATGAAAAATTGAAGAATAGGCATTTGAGGAGAGACTCTTCAGAAGTTTTGCTTCAGGAGCCAAAGGCAGAGGTGTGAGCACACTTTCTGTCTAGCAGCATTTCACTAGGTTTTTGAAGTCTCCACATTTCCGTATTAGAGGGAACGAAATTACTTTGGAAGGTCAGTGGTTATATTGTTTGAAGCTAGGGAGCTATCCATAAACCTCCCTCATTTCTTTTTTTTTTTTAATAATTTTTTATTGTTATGTTAACCACCATACATTACATCATTAGTTTTTGATGCAGTGTTCCATGATTCATTGTTTGTGCATAACACCCAGTGCTCCACGCAGAATGTGCCCTCTTTAATACCCATCACCAGGCTAACCAATCCCCCCCCCCTCCCCTCTAGAACCCTCAGTTTGTTTTTCAGAGTCCATCGTCTCTAATGGTTCGTCTCCCCCTCCGACTTACTCCCCTTCATTCTTCAAACCTCCCTCATTTCTAACAACTGTTCCAAGTTTGGGGATTCTCAGGACCAACCTTAAATTTTGATAATCCACTAGAAAGGCTCCCAGTAACTTCCTATAAGTTATAAATGCTATTATGATTTATTACACCTAAAGGATACAAATTAAAATCATCCAAGGGAAGAGAGGTATATAGGGCAGAGTCCAGGAAGTTCCAGACATGGAGCATCCAGTTGTCCTCTTCCCATGGAGTAGCAGACAGTGTTACCAGCCTGATAATGATGTGTCACAGTACACACGTATTGTGTATTGAGAGCCAGGGAAGCCTCACTGAGCCTTAGTGTCTAGAGTTTTTACTGGGGCTCTGTCATGTAGTTATGGTTGACAGCCCATATGGCTGATCTCAGTTTTCAGCCCCTCTGAAGATCAAACTAATATCACATTCCCCAACCTCCCCACCCTAAATCTCTAGTGTGACAATCAAGGACATTCCTAACAGGCATATTCTAAGGGCTTAAAGATTATTTCCAGAAGCCAAGGGCAGATGCCAGATTTCTGTTAGCGGTAAGGTCGAATTTTTTTACTGCACACATTGGGAAACAATCTGGGGTAAGGTTGAGAGAATTTTTCCTCCCACCTAAACAATTCATTTGTCCATTTATCGAATAAATATTTAATGAGCACCTGCTGTGTGCTAGGTACTGTTGTATATGATGGGGTTATAGCAGTGAACAAAGCAAACAAAATCCCTTCTTTCAAGAAAGTATAGTATAAACTGATAGAGGAAAGAAAAATAAATAAATATACATGTGTTATACTCTTTTAAACTTAACACTAGATTTTTTCCTATACACAAAGAGAATGATAGACCTTACTCTTTTCTAAATACCATTATTCTTATTATCAGTAAGTCAGAGCAGTTTAATTGGATTTTTTATATGTATATCTCAATACTGTTTTTAGATTAAAGTAGTAAATCAGATTTTAAGAGTTCAGAGTAGAACTCTGTGAATTCTACAATCTTGATAGAATAAAATAGTCTAGATTATTTTAATTAGATAATATTGAAATACTTTTCATATTAATTATGACTTTAAAAAAAAGATTAACTTCCGGGGCACCTGGGTGGCTCAGTCAGCTGAGTATCTGCCTTCGGCTCAAGTCATGATCTCAGGGTCCTGGGATCGAGCCTCTTGTTGGGCTCCCTGCTCAGTGGGGAGCCTGCTTCACCCCCTCCCCCTCCCTTGCCCCTACCCCTGCTAGTGCTCTCTCTCCCTTTCTCAAATAAATAAAATCTTTAAAAAAAAAAAAAAAAGATTAATTTCCTTTTTTCTTCTATAATTTTTTTTAAGGACAAATTCTTCCAGATCCCGGCATCAGAAGTCCTAATCAATGATGGCCTTCAGCAGAGTATGGATATGATCTTGGATATGTTTTGTCCTTCGGGAATAAAAATTGGTAGGCAATATTTTTTAACACTCTCATCCTTTTTCTTGAAACAGTATTTAACATGTATCTAATCTGTAGACTTAGAGGTATGAAAACTTTGAAGTCTGAATCTAAATAAATTATTGTCTGATCTGCCTTTTGATGAAGACAGTGGCAGGGAGAAAATAGTTAAGAATCATAGTTCCTGAAATGAAAAGATTTTTAAATTTTTTGAAATACAATAAAGGGGAGGCAGTTTTGATCTCAAGGACATTTGTATACTGTTTTTATGCATACAAACATTTGAAATTTTGACAAGAAACATTTTCTATAACAGACTTCATTTAACCAGTTTAATTCATTCATGAATTTCTGTTCATATTATTAATATCATAATATTAACTAGGGTCAGGTTTTATGCATTTTTATTTTACTAATTGTTTTTTATCAGCTGTAGTTCTCTGGATAACATTTGATTCATCAACCAGATGTTCAGGTCAAATCGTATCGATTACATCTACTGCCACTGACTTCCTTTTGTGGCCATTATTTCTGCTTACATTGAAATTTGAAGACCTCAATCATAGTAAGACAGTTTGATTCTTCTAACAATTTTTCATCAGTAGCAAATTTTGCCAGCTGCAGATTTAGCTGCTGTCAGTTTAATTTTTTTAGGTTATTTTTAATCAGACTTTATTTTCCCCTGGTCAGTCTTTGAATTTTGTAACAATTCCAAAAAGATAGCTTTTATACATCTGTAACAAGGTTTAACTTACATACTTTTATTTGATGGCAGCTTTGATTTTGGTTTTAATTCTTTTGGATAGATTTCTGGAAATAAAAGTCTCATTAAAAAGCACGGGTTTGGTAGGCTTTTGATACGTGCTGCCAGATTGCTTTTCCAAGGATATTTTATCTATTTATACTTCTACCAGCAGTGGAGGAGAGTGCCTGTCTTGCTTGACTCTTGCCAATATTGACTATATTAAGTGTCTTTTAAACTTGAACTTGAAGAAGCATTAAGAAACTTTTCTAGACGTTCTAAATAGATTTATTGTGGTCATGACCGAAGCTTGGAAATAGCATCTACAGCTGCCAACATTGTCTGGACTCAGTGCCTGGTACCTGATGGGAGTTTCAGCTAGACAGGTGTATAAGAGCCTGAGCTGATGTGAACCTCAGGCTCGGTTTCTTTGCAGTCAACCAAGAAAAAAAAGAAAAACAAACAAACAAAAAAACCTGGGGAGGTCAGCAGCAGGAAGAAAAGGAAGAAAAGTTGGGAATGAGATGGCTGCTACCTTTGCTGTCAGACATTTGGAAAACCCTACATTTAATTATTGTTTTCTGTTGGAAAAAAAATCAAATTAGGATTGTTACAAAACAGTAACAAGAACCCAGTGTGTATTTGGAAGAGTAGATAATATTAAATTTGGTAAGTGTATTTACTTTTCAAGCTAAACTAAATGTTAATTTTTCTAGCTAAGCATTATGCTTAGATACATATTTCAGAGGTATTTGTTTAGTTTTAGTGGTTAAGTAACATTTTTTTCTCATTTGTAGATGCCTATCCGTGGTTGGAATGCTTCATCAAGTCGTATAATGTCACAAGTGGAACGGAGCAGCAAATTTGCTATCAGATTTTTGACACCACAGTTGCAGAAGATGTAATCTAATATTGTCATTCAGCTTAGCATATGTAAAATACTATAATTTTAGAAAACATTATTTTCTGTGTGATTCTTATAAAACATGTAGAAGGTTTAACAATATAGTTTATCTTCCATTTTAACCACAGTGTAAATTTTTTTTCACAAATAGCATTGTGTTATCTTAATACCTTCTTGTGAATAAGTTAAAAATGTTCCTTTTGCTCAAAATTTCCAGTATGGTGGCTGCTAGGGCCATAAAGGAGAAAGGGGAATAAAGAAGGACTGTCTTCATTTACCCCTTGCAGCCCTTTCGGAGAATGTGTTCTGGTACCCTGCACTAAAAATCACTTTCCTTGTTGGTTTTTCCGTGTGTCAGCCACTAATTTGTCTGCCCGCCACCATCTGTGCTTGGCCTTCTTTTCCTGCCATGGTTTTTATATCAGCATTGTTAATGATTTTAGCATGGGTATGGGGTTAGAAAACGTCCTTATGTTGACTCACTCAGCTTTCACTGAGTGCAAAGTATGTAATGGCTAGCGGTTTGGTTTTGCACAAAGGGATCTGTTTAAACAAGTAGTCTTGAGAAGTGCTCTTCTGAGTGAGCTACAGCGTACTTAACAGGAGTGGTTTACTTTAGGTGTATGTGGCAGAGTTGCTGTCTTTCGGTGCTATAGACCAATTTAGGATAAATCCATTTTCTAAGACCTGAATTGTATGCTTTTGATTGCTTGTTTCTCTACATGATATTAGAAGTTACTACATTCCACCTTGATCTGATAAAGCAGTCAGGTTTATTACAATGTTACTGACTTACATTACCCTTTTTTAATAGTCTTATGTAATATATATTTCAGACTGAACATGGAATGAGATATTAACTCAATACAGTAGTCCGCTTTTTATCTGACAGTGTTTGCAAAATTTAAAATCATGAATATTTAGTTTTATACAGATACTTCTATATATTTGTATATATGTATAGACGTATGTATATTATTTGGTAAAGACTAGGACACATATGCCTAGTTCAGTATTAGTGAAGAATAAATTAATGTACATATTTCACCTGTTTTCTTTATTTGCCCTGTGTTGAGTTGAGGCGTGAGTGGAGGCAAAGAATCAAAGTAGGAATGCCAATATAGCAGATATTTAAGACTGTCTATACAATAGGAACTGTGCAAAGCATTTAACATATATTTGAGTTTTGCAACAACCATTTTCCTGATAAAACTGAGGCTTGGTGGGCTGACTTCACTAAGTTCACATGGTTACTAAGTGCTAGTCAGTACGCGCATTCTGGTAATCTTTGTTCAGAGGCTGCACTGCCAACCACGCCAGGATTCTGGCGCAACAAGCTAGCATCAGGTTTTCTGCAAATGAGTCCTCCCTTAAGTATTTGAAGTAACACTGGAAACAGATTATGAGAGGAGTCAGTGTTATGTTTTCTTACACTCTCAAAAGGCTTTTAACATTTTATTGGCAAAAAAGGTTCAAATATTTGATTTCCTCTGCCCATAATAATTCCAAATTCTAGTTCCTGAGTACATTATCCCATCCCCAGACGTAACTACCCATTTCCCATCACTGAATTACCATCTTGTCGGAGATGGTAGAAAAAGAGCCTGATGCTGCTGTTTTGGGTGTAAACTCTTAGTTCAAAACATCTTCAGGGAAAAGTTTTAGGAACCCTGTGAATGAACCGATAGATTTCAGTATTGATGGTATGCTGGGGATATGAAGGCCAGAGAGCCATTTTCTCTTCAGGAAGCACCGAGTCTAGAAGAGGAGGGGTCAGAAGGTACGGCAGGTCACAGCGCTGTCTCCAAGTTGATAAAATAAAACTCCTCACATGAATCTTTACTGGGATAGGTCATTTCTCTTTTTTCTTTTTTTTTAATAAACCCTTACATTGTCCTCATTTGTTTTTTAACTTTTCAGCTTTGAACAAGAAGAGTTCTGTTAATACCTAGCGTTTATCCAGTGATGATGTGTGCATCTTACCTTTATCAGGACCCGGGAAAGCTAGGAGAATTCGGTTTCTGGAGCAACAAGTAGACGGGCGTTCACTGTGCCCTGATTTGAACCCTGTCCCCTTTACTGTCCATGGGAATGATGGTAGCCTTCCTGTCAGATATAAAATTACATAAATTTAAGCATGTAGTTTGTGTACAGCCTTTTGCTCAAATTCCATTCTCTGCAGCATCCATTCGATACTACTGGATTGTCTCTTTAGCCCCTGCACTGTTCTGTATGAGGAAGAGAAGGCGTAGCTTAGAAAATCTGAGGCAGTCAATTACACAATAATGAAAAGTGCACTGCTCACGCGCTCTTTCTGTCCCTACACTCCATTATACTCTTTATTTGAGGGAACTATACTGGCCAAGACGCAGTGCATAATTCCCCCTCCTCCCCTTTCTTTTTTTTTTTTTTTATCCCTGGTCGTGTTGCACATTGGGAGTTGTTTCTGAATGAATATAGAGAGGCTGGTGTGAATGGAATAGAAGAAGCTGAATACACCTCTGTCTACCTGAGAAAGCAGTCTCCACGCAATAGGGCACTGGCTGCGCAGTTTCTGAGTCTGTAGATCCTGGGCTGAGGCTACTTGCAGGTCACAGGGATGGGCCAGAATCTTTAACCGGCTGTGCTCGTCTGTTTCCAGAGTCAAAGCATGAGTTTTGTCACGATTTGTGACACTCAATCCAGCCGATTCTCTTCTACACTTTCTGGAAGCTTTCCTTGGTATCTGGGGAAATAGCTGGATTCTTCTGATTATTTTCAGTGTTTTGAATTTTGACCATGTATTTCACCAAGTTTTGTTTTTATTCAGAATTTTTAAAAGTAAAAGTAATATGTATTTGTAAGAATTGAAACAGTATAAAGTATATGAAGTTGAACTAATTCTTACTTTAACTAGTACCCCAGAGGAAACCACTTTTAACAGTTTTGGTGTATAATTTTCCAGACTGTTTTCCCTAAGAATGGGTAAATATGTGTATATATGCTTTTTAAAAATAACATCATGCTATAAATATATTTCTGCAACTTTTGTCACTTTATAAAGTAGACCTTGTTCTTTATAACAATACATATAGAAGGAGAAACTTGTTTGTAATTACTCAGCGTAAGTAACTTTTTAGGGAATTCTCTGATTATTTCACTTTCTATTTTTATCTTGATTTTTGGTCTATTTAAGTGTTCTGTTTCCTACTGTAAACAGTTTTGGAATTTTATAGGAATGTATGCATTTTACCTATTTTGTTGACTTTATCGCCTTATAGTTATTCATAATAATATTTTATTATTATTGCTTTAGTCTGTGTTTTGTCTGGTGTTGTTTTCCCTTTAAATAAATCTGAAGCCCCGGGACCTGGTTTCATTGTATCTATTGGAGGTTCTTAGGTGATGAGAATTTTGAAGATCTGTCCAACTTCTAGTACAGATTAGGACCCTACCATGGCACAATTGTCTTGAAATATTCTTTCATGCTTCAAAGGACTCATTGTAGAAAAAGAGGAATTTATGTTAATGTAAGAAGGGAGAATGCCTCCTATAATGCTTTTCATTACAAAAAAGGCTTTATGATAGCCATCATGAGTCACCCTAAAGTTCTAAAACATCATTAGAAGGGAAATAAAGATATATCTTCCCGTGCTTGCCCTGCAGGATCTCTGGATGGCGTCAAAGCCGCCTTCCCACTCCAGGAAAAAGACCTAGTCAGCTGTTAAAATCTGGGCCTAGTAATCTATGTTCTCTTCCCTCTGGTACTTGGAAATAGTATCAGAACTCACTAAACAGGAAGTCTGCAGTGTGCTCAGGTATGTGAGATCACATCTTCATTTGGCAGCCCGGGAATGAATCAGTAGCACCGTGTATTATTTTTCTCTGCAGTATTGTGATTTAAGCTCTCACGAAATTTGAGATCACTTAGGGTTTCGAAGTGATGGTCATCTTACATGGAGATAAATGTCCTTCCATTCAGGACTGCATATGATGGATTGAGAACAGTGTTAGGTATCAATTACCATGATAAGGATAATGCATTAATGTATATGGGAGCTCTCCCTCAGATGTGCCAGCTGGTGAAACATGGATAGTTCAGAGACTCCTCTATTTTTAGACTGTAGCAACATCTTAATGAATGTCTGTTTTTTCCCCTTGAAATCAAGGCCATAAAGGCACGTTGGTATAGCATGTGCATGTGTGTGCATGTGTGCGTGCACATGCTTGCTTTTATTCTATGCTTTGAGTTCACTTTGCAGGGTACTATATTAGAATTTACCTGACAGCCTAGTCCACAACTACCAAAGAAAGACGTTTTCAAGACATTTTCAACTTGTGTGAAAAGTTTCTTTTATTTCATCTGTTGACAGTGGTCTGAAGATTTGGAGCATGTGTTCATTGAAAACCTTCTTATCATCTATTAATATATTCCATCAAATACTGTTACAGTTTCTAAACAAGTACATTTTTATATACAATCCTGAATCTCTGGTATATACCTTCTTTTTTTTTTCTATACCTTCAGAATGATTTTTCCCTTCTTTGAAATATGAACTTGCAGATAAACGCCAGTTTGTTTTTACATACTACTCTATTCCTCAGCAGATTTTTGTCCTCCACTGGAGGGCAGAGTCCTTCTAGAATTTAAAATCTTGTACCAAATTAGCTACCTTTTAAATGACTTTATCTCAAGCTTCCGTAACAGTAAATAGGAAAGAGAATATATTTTAAAATCAAAAGTATTAACTTGGGAGTCACATGAAAACATAGCAGTGGATAGGCATAGTTGTGGTTTTATTTGGTTAGATAGGAAATCCTGTGTGTTTATTCCCATTAGATTAGGTTTAGGAGCAATAAACTTGTACTTAAATTTTGGAATCATTGACAAGTATTTCAGCACAATGATCAAAGCTTGAATGGAGCATAAGAAAAAGAATACAGAGTACAAAATAGTATGTATTTAAAAGTCAGCTCATACATTTACATTCATTTATTATTCATATAGTATCTGTATCCACAAAGAATTTCATATGGTTTACAATAAAAGACAGACATAGGACCCAGTCTTTTGAAATAGGGCAAGAAGACAAGAGCCAAATAGGGGAGTGACTATTAAAACAATTCATTATTTCTAACCTAAGGGATGCTATAGGCTTTGAACAAAACTTACCTATATATGAAAATGCAACAGGTTACATTGCTCTTACTAACAAAGTTCTTATATCTTTAGTAGATACAAACCTTTTATTTATCTCGACATAAAGAGTAGCAAGGTGGGTTTTTATATTAGGCACACTAAATATTTTATGTAACTAATAGTATTTTTTAAAAATGCAGAAATTTGATCCAAAATGCTAGGATGTAAACTCTGAAGATGGAAGAAATAGAGCAGGGGAATTTTCCATGGACTGTCTACCTTTTGGCTCTTATTTGAAGTACTTTCTTGTTTTTTTATTGTTAATGATGAATGTAAAATGTTTCCAGTATCTCCACATACTCAAGAATTATTAGAAGCATTAATTACTACAGGAAAAATTTGTATTTTTCTGGTATTAAAAAATCAACTCCCTTCTGATATAAATATCACTGAGAAAATTAGCTCCTTTTACCTTTTCCTACTCTAGTTACTGGTAATGAAATAATTATCTTGTTTTCAGTGTTTCAAGTCAGGAAGAATATGGGTTTTAATGAATCACAGTCATTTGGATGATATGTACTCCTGTATTTTG